TGGTCATTACGAGAGCAGTATAGAGCACTTGTCTAATGTGTGAGGCCCTGGGTTCCATCACCAGCACCAAAGTAAAGTTATGAAACTATTTACCCTTATTACTTGAAGAGATTTTTTTTTTTTTAAAGTTAGGTTCTGAACTGAGTTGGCTGATAAGCAGCAAAACAGTCTTTATGTGCTTGTTTTAGTTAAAGTCTAGAAGTGGATTATCTTGATAAAAAACAAAACTTACCTGTTTCTCTCAGTCCAAAGACCACTGGTAGAATTTCATCCAGTTAGCTCTCCTGCTGCAACCTATCACTTCCTTCAGGTTATCATTTGCATCTTCTTTTCATGTTTCTTCCTCTTCCTCCTCTTCTCAGAGAAAATTACTGTCTCTAATAAAATATGGGTTGGCAATAGTGACTTAAGATCAAAATAGAGGAAACTATTTAAATATTAACATTACCAAACAATATTAGCAAGATAGTTTGGTTAATGTTAATCCAAAGGAAAATATAAATTCCAGAGTATTTTATCAAAATATAGGAAGTGAAGCAAGATGCCTTATATTTTCATAGAGAAGAAGAAATTTTGTTTTCATTAGTAACAAAATGCATTTCAAATGAAATAACTAGATTAATAACAAAATACATTTCAAATGCTAGATTTCAAAGTTGAGTGGGCTGCGGTTGTAGTTCATGGGTAGAGCACTTGCCTAGCTTGTGTGAGTTCAATCCTCAGCACCACATAAAATAAAGAAATAAATGTATTGTGTCCATCTACAACTAAAAATATTTTAAATAAGAGTAATGTGGTATATGTAAGAGAAAACTTAAATCATAGATTAAAGGAAAGATGAAGACATCTAAAAATGGAAAGAAACAAACTGGTGGAGAGAGGCAAGTAACAAAGGCTTGGAGTGACTGAAGACTGGAGAACCAGGGGATCTTAATATAAGAAGGAAGAGTGGTGTTTCAGAATGCTCATGACCCACAGAGCTGACTTCAAAGTCTTAACATTGAACAGATGTCACTCTGAAAACCAGGTACAGACAACTGACCCCCTGAGAGTCAGGGAATCTGTAAGACCTAGGCAAAGCCTGAAAGCATTCCTAGAGTCCAGTACCCCTGTGACTTAAAACCAGGAGTGGTTGTCTGAGATCCAAATTTTTCTCTGTAACAGGAGCCACTTATAGGTGAGGAAAGAAAATATAAAAAGGTAGAATGTGTGATTATGAAAGCATACTTTTTACCAAAGCACTAAAGTAGCACTTAAAAAAAAATAAATATACCTATTTAGCAGTCTTGGTCATTTTTTTTAAAGGAAATAGTCTCTAAACATTCTTTTATTTATTTGTTTTTATGTGGTGCTGAGGATTACACCCAAAGCCTCACACATGCCACGCAAGTACTCCACCACTGAGCTACAACGCTAGCCCAGCATTTCTTTTTAAGTTTGTTCTTTTTTGATATACATGACAGTAGAGTATATTTTGACACATTATCCATACATGGAGTACAACTTCCCATTCTTGTGGTTGTATGTGATGTTGAGTTACACTGGTTGTATATTCATATATGAACACAAGAAAGTTATGTCCAATTCATTCTACTGTCTTTCCCATCCCCATCCCTTCTCCCTTCACTTCATTCTGCTTTGTCTAGCCCAATTAACTTCTATTTCCCACCACCTCAATTATGAGTTAGCATCTGCATATCAGAGAGAACATTCTGCTTTTGGTTTTTTGGGATTGGCTTATTTTACTTAGCATGATAGTCTCCAGTTCCATTCATTTACTGGCATATACCATAATTTCATTCTTCTTTATAGCTAAGTAATATTCCATTGTGTATATATACCACATTTAATCCATTCTTAAAGGGCACCTAGGTTGGTTCCATAGTTTAGCTATTGTAAATTGAGCTGCTATAACATTTATTTGGCTGCATCACTATAGTATGCTGATTTTAAGTCCTTTGGGTATATACCAAGAAGTGGGATAACTGGGTCAAATGGTGGTTCCATTCCAGGTTTTCTGAGGAATCTCCATACTGTTTTCTGTAGTGGTTGCACCAATTTGCAGCCCTATTAGCAATGTATGAGATTACATTTCCCCCATATCCTCATCAACATTTATTGATAATTGCCATTCTGACTGGAATGAAATGAAATCACAGTGTAGTTTTAATTTGCACTTCTCTAATTGCTAGAAATGTTGAACATTTTTTCATATATTTGTTGACTGATTGTATTTCTTCTTCAGTGAAGTACCTGTTCAGTTCTTTTGCCCATTTATTGATTAGATTATTTGGTTTTGGGTGTTAGGTTTTTGAGTTCTTTATATATCCTGGGGATTAATACTTTATAAGAGGTGCAGATGACAAAGATTTTCTCTCATTCTGTAGGTTCTGTCTTCATACTTTTGATTATTTCCTTTGCTGTGAAGAAGATTTTTAGTTCGATACTATCCCATTTATTGATTTTTTTTTTTTTTTTTGCACCAGGGATTGATCTCATGGGCACTCAATTACTGAGCCCTTTTTAAAAAAATTATTTATTTATTTGTTCTAATTTGTTATACATGACAGCAGAATGCATTTCAACTCATAGTACACAAATGGAGCACAACTTTTCATTTTTCTGGTTGTACAAAAGTAGAGTCATACCATTCGTGTCTTCATACAGGTACCATCTCATCATACCCCCTTCCCTTCCTCTCCTTCCCCTTTTCCCTATCTAAAGTTTCTCCATTCCTCTCATGTTCCCCTCACCCCCATTATGGATCATCATCCATTTACCAGAGAAAACATTTGGCTTTTGGATTTTGGGGATTGGCTTACTTCACTTACCACAATATTCTCCAACTCCATCCATTTACCTGCAAATCCCACCCTTTTTTTGTATTTTATTTATAGACAGGGTCTCACTGAGTTGCTTAGGGCCTTGCTAAATTGCTGAGGCTGGCTTTGAACTCAAAATCCTCCTGCCTCAGCCTCTGGAGCCCCTGGGATTACAGGAATGAGCCACTGCACCCCGCTCCACTTATTGATTCTTGATTTTACTTCTTGCACTTTAAGGGATCTTGTTGAGGAATTTGGTTCCTAAGCTGACATGAAGGAAAGTTGGGCCTATACTTTCTGGTAGTAAGTGCAGGGTCTCTGGTCTAATGTCTAGGTCCTTGATCCATAAATTTACATTTCTTAATACTTTAGTGGATTTGAGAACTGGATAGTAACAGACACATTTCCTGGAAAACAGACCTACACATGCTATTTTGCAAAGAATATCAAAAGGTTTTCAAAATCACCAAACCCATCCTCTAGAACTGTGCTAATGTGGTAGCACTTGGTAAAACTTAGCAACTCCATTTTAAGTATCCAGTAGTCACCATCCCAAAACATTCTACTGGAACAGTAGATTCTAAGATTTTCCTGATCTCAGGTTAAAGACCCCCACACCCAGATGAACCCTTTTAAATAGATCTGCTTGATCATAATCCTATTTCCAAACACTAGCTACTCTATTTTTGGCATATAGGTAGGCCATTTGAAAGAAATGGAGGAGGAATATTAATGGTAATAACCCTAAAAGTTCATCAACCTGTAAGTACCCATTAATAGCCTAAAATCAAAGGGAACTTAGGTAGAAATCATTCTTATTATCAAGGTATGTGTAATTCTGCCAACATTTTTACACCAAATATTCTGCAATAGTTATTTAAGTGACTTTATTAAGTTTAATTAACTTTTTGGTTCTGGAATTGAACCTAAGGCCTTCAGTATAAAGTGGCCTTTTTGTGAGATTCGATGAGCCTTCAGGAATTTATTGTTTTACTAGTGCCTAATAATATACTGAATTCATACTCAAGACTATGAGCCAGGCAATGTTCTATGCATTCTGCTTACCTTAGCTAGTTTAATCCATTTATGAGTTGGGTATAACATTACACCCTCAAAACAGAAAAGAGAACTGTCTTGGTGAGATTAAATAAATTGCCTGAGATCACGTAGTAAATGCCAGGGAGTAGAGGTTTCGAGGTTGGAATTTATAGTCAACTTAAATAGAAACTGTCTGAAAACATCGAAATGGCCTTAAGGGACTCAGGTCACAAGTCTCAACAAGGTTTTCCTGAAATGGACTTGTACGTGCTCATGTGCTATGTGGCCTCTGGGTAGGCATTTATCATGACAGTTTGTGGATCTATAGTCACCTGAAATGAAACAAAGCAAAATTCTCAGTACTCTTCCACACAAACCCGATGCTCCGCAGCCCCCAGCACCCTTTACTCAGGGCAGCCCGAGCAGGCTAGCGGGGTGACCCTGGGCAAAAGCCTAAAAAAGCCGGGTGTGCGGTGAGCAGCATGGAGCACGGGCCGGACGCCCAGCGTTCCTCTAGGCCGCCCCGCAGCGCAGCCAGACTCTGAACGTAGCCACTACTAAACCGGCAGCGCGCCGCTAGTCGGCGCAGGCGCAGTAGCGATGCTGCGCCACGGACTTCATCTCCCGGTAGGCTCCGCGCTGGCTGCTGCGCACCCAAAAGGGTGGTGACCCCCGGCCGCCGGGAGCAGCCCAGGAAGCTGAGGACTCGTTGGGAAAAGATATCCCGGGGCGCTTGTTAACGACTCAGATTCCTGGGTCCCGCTCTGACCTAGCTTGTTTCTAGATCAAGCGTGGCTCGAAGATTTACATTTCGACAGACTTTGCTGGGGAAACCTGACCCAGGTCACTCGCCGGCCACACCCACCTCGGGCTTCCCCGCTTCCAACTCGCAGCCCCGCCCACTCCCGGCCCAACTACGGAGATCTCCCGGACTCGTCAGGTGGCCCAGCTTCCCGTCCCCAATTGGCCCCTAACTCATCCCGCCTCCGCGAGMGAATCTTTATTTTCTATTGGTCAGTGCTAAGTCTGTGTGAGACCTGACCCAATGGACGCTAGAGTATGCAAAACATGACCCGTGCTTCGGCTCGAGGAGGGGCCGTTGGATTGTGACGTATAACTCGCGCGCTGAAACTTCCGGCGTGGGAGCCGAGGACTCAGTCTTGCGTGGGTGTGTGAGGGGAGAAAAGCGGTGGAGCTCGGGACCCGCTGAGGTCAAGCTGGGGGCCTCCGCCAGGATTCGGAGATCCCAGCCCCTTGGCTTCTGCCCACGCCATTTATCCTTGCACCCGGCGCCGTCCAAGGCAGGCATAGCTGGTTTCGGGGCCAAGACGTTCTGGGGGAACCGCGATGGCGTCGGTCCCGGGCTCTCAGGAACGCGAAGGGCTGCTGATAGTGAAATTGGAGGAAGACTGCGCCTGGAGCCAGGAGCTGCCCCCGCCTGACCCAGGGCCCAGCCAAGAGGCCTCCCATCTCCGCTTCCGACGATTCCGCTTCCAAGAGGCCGCTGGTCCCCGGGAAGCGCTCAGCCGGCTCCAGGAGCTTTGCCATGGCTGGCTGCGGCCAGAGATGCGCACCAAGGAGCAGATCCTGGAGCTACTGGTGCTGGAACAGTTCCTGACCATCCTGCCCCAAGAGATCCAGAGCAGGGTGCAGGAGCTGCATCCGGAGAGCGGCGAAGAGGCAGTGACCCTTGTGGAGGATATGCAGAGAGAGCTCGGGAGACTGAGGCAACAGGTGAGAGAAAGGGCCGTTTTATCCCCGTTTTGGCCCCGAGGACTGGGACATCTCGTTTGCCTAGTTCCCCAAATTTACTTGGTTGCTCTGGGTAGACCCTACATGGGGAAGAGGGGTTTTTGTGGTTTAGTCCGCAACATTCATTCTTAAGAATTTCCCCCTATGAACATGGTGAGCAGTGAAAAGTACCCTTTTACCACACGAAGGCAGTGCCTTGGCAGTAGTTTGTTAGAGTGCCATCGTTCAAGTCCTCACTCTGCTGTTTACTAGCTTTGCGAATTTATCAAGTTATTTGATCTCTTTGGGCCTCAGTTTGCCCCCTGATAAAATACTTTTGGGGGCCATTTTGAGGGTAACAGGAGGAGTGGCATGTAAAGTTTTGATGACACTGATGGCTACCAGCGTATTATTATTATTATTACTTATTTTTTAGTTGCTGATGGACACAATATCTCTCTTTATTTTTATGTGATGCTGAGGATCAAACCCAGTGCCTCACCCGTGAGGAGGGTGCTCTACCACTGAACTACAGTCCCAGCTTATTAATGTCTAGTACCCATTAGTTCTTGTTCTATTAGGGTGGACAAAGTGATGTCCTGCAGAGCTGGGTGTCTGTTAATTGAAAAACAATTTGGCCTTGAGGCTCTGAGGTCCCTGCCACTACCCCCATCAAACTTTAGCTTATCCAGTAGTGAGAAATAGGGCAACTAGAAAAGGTGAAGGAGAACAGAAGGAGCCACGTGAATAAAGAATGTGGGGAAGATGTACAGTGGGAATGGACACTGTCCTTCCCTCCTTTAGTCTTCCCTTCCCAGTTTCACTGATGTACAAGGGATGCACATGCCTTTAGTGTAAACTGCCTTCTTTTGCCAAGTCCAAAGGGAATCTTCTGTAATTCTCTGTTGAAGACCTGCACTTAGAATCCTGTAGTGATGTCCCTTTCTGTCACCCTGTTGTGATGATGAGTGATGTGGGTTGGTTCCCAGGTCACAAACCAAGGGCGGGGAACAGAAGTACTTTTGGAGGAGCCTTTGCCTCTGGAAACAGCAGGAGAGTCACCGAGCTTCAAGCTGGAGCCAATGGAGACTGAGCGAAGCCCTGGCCCAAGGCTGCAGGAGCTACTAGGCCCCAGCCCTAAAAGGGACCCCCAGGCTGTAAAGGACAGGGGTGAGGAACAGTCATTTGGGTAGGTGGGAGGGAGGAGGGGCTTTGGGATTGCCCCCCAATACTAGCAGAATGTAGCACAGGTGCCAAGGAAAAGGAATTTCTGAAGTGGAGGTTCTCGGATGTGTCTTGAAAGACCTAGAAGTGGGGTGTGGGTTCTGCTGGGTGTGGGAGAAAGAAGGGGAATCTCTTTGAACCCTTTTGTATGCAGGACAGGCAGTATAGAGCTAGATGAATGGTGTGGGAGGTTTGGAGTGCTGCTGACAGTGTGGAAGACTGCTAGCATTCCTTTACTCTGGCCCTATCATTCTGGATATCACTTTATTATGCCTTTTGCCACCTTTGTTTTAATGTCAATCCTAAAAGCAAAGTCTGGGTGTTCTGGAACACAAACTGTTTTGTAATAATATGTGGGTTGATAAGATTTCTGGGTTGCCCCACATTTTGGAATGCCATTCTCATTGTGATTTCTATCACCTTCAGCATTATCTACTCCCTGGCTTTCTCTCTTTCCTCCTGAAGGGAACATGGAAGACAAGGAGATGACTGGGCCCCAGGTGATGTGGCAGTTCCCCTTGTTTCCCCCATCAGCACCCTCCTTCCTTCCCTGGAGTGTTCCTTTTGGGATAAGAAGGGGTCCTTTGGCCACTTGGAGGATCTTTCTCCCTAACCAAATGTGAAGCCTTCTTTGTCTCTACCCATCATGTATAGTTCTTTGACCTTTCTTCCTTGTGTGTCCTTGGCACCCCTGAGTTTTGCCCCTTTAATTCATGACTACACTCAAATTGTTCTTGGTTCATTTGGGGCTAAAAGAGATCTTGTGCTGTTTCAGTTGCCTGAAAGCATAGAGGATGTGGCCATGTACATCTCCCAGGAGGAGTGGGGTCACCAGGATCCTAATAAGAGAGTCCTCTCCAGGGACACGGTGCAAGAGAGTTATGAGAATGTGGACTCTTTGGGTAAGGACTTTCTTTCTTAGGGATGACAACTGTGGCATTTCTAACCGGGGTCTTGCCCCACAAACATGTACTCCAATTTTGCCAAGAAGCATTCTCGGGAGACCTCCCTTTTTCTAAAGTTCCCCACATTAGGATTAGATATCTACCAAGTTGACAGTTGGCACTCTAATGGACAGCCCTGGACCTAAGCTCTACTGCTGAACTCTCTACTAAGGCAGAAAGTTTGAATATAATGTACTTCCAAGGGCAGCACAAATCAAATCCAATGATTAGTGCACACATCACACATATTCAGTCCCCCAGGATGCTAAGGAGGCCTCAATGTTCTTAATTCTTTGTAATTTTGAGATGCTTATTCTTCAGAGCTTGCTTGTTTCCTGTCCTCCATTAGTATTTCTAGGCTCCAAAGACAAAGAAAGCACTGGCATCAACATTGCAGCTTATTAGCCCTTATAGTCTATAGAAATGCAGGGAAGTGGAGGGCCATGTGGAAATTTGTGAAAAAAAGCAGGTTAAATGATGCATAAATTATAATGCATCTATGTGTTGAACTATTGTGCAGAGATTAAAAATGATGCATATGAAATGACAAACTGATAGTTGGATTAGAAAGAGGATATACAGAAAATTATTATACAGTTTCCTCAACTTTTCTTTGAAGATGAAAATTTTTATAATAAAGCTGGAGGAGGTCTTAAACACAATTGTATAATTAGCTATATCGCAGCACACGCCAGTAGAAATCACACTGCAGTTTATTTTCATCTATCAGGTTTGTATAAAAGAATCATAGTTTTTTGGACTCAGATACATTATTTCTGCAAAGGGCTTTTTACTGGCTTTTGTTTCTTTTCATTGGGACCAACTCCAGGTTTTTCATCACTTTTCCAGTGCTCTGTTGCCCAAAATTGAACAAAGCTCCTTTAGTGAGTGCTAACTAGGAAGAGAAAAATAAGATTTCAATTTGTTGGAATTGAAATTGTTTGGGTCCATGTTTGCTGGAGGTGGAGTGAGGTTTTTGGTTTTATTTTTTAGCATAGCCCAGAAATAGCACATTTGGGTTTTAATCTCATCATCCTTTCAGAGCTGTGGGTCCTTTTCTCATTGTCATATTTTCTCCTTGGAGTTGTCAAGTCAAATCATATTTATATGTAAGAGTCAAGGTTCTTTTGATATGTTAAACTGATTTTTCAATGAGCTAACCATCCTGAACATTGTAATTTTATTGTTGTTTTAATTTCAGAAGTGTACATTTTCATGGAAAAAAAAAATCCCAAGTGTGTTGAAAGTCTTAAAACCAACCAAACAAAAAAATAGTCTCCTCTAATTTCTTTCTGTAGAGGTAACCACTGGGAATAGTTTAGTGTGTGTATTCCAAGTAATCAATGTCAGACTTGTTGAGCATTCATCTCCCCACTAAGAGCAGGGAATAAGGTTATCTTTTTACCCTTGCTTGGTAGAGGAGAGTGGTGATATAGCAATCTATTTCTTTTCATTGTAAACAGAATCTCACATTCCCAGTCAGGAAGCCCTCAACACCCAGGTGGAACAAGGAGGAAAACCATGGGATCCCAGTGTCCAGAGTTGCAAGGAGGGTGTGAGCCCCAGAAGTGCAGCTCCAGGTAAGAAATGAAGGTGAACATCTACCCAGCAAGGCATCTTGAGGTTGAACACAAGATAGATGAAAGTTGGGTACAGGGCCTCCTACTACTGCTGGCATGGAGGTACATTGTTTCCTGTGTCTCCACTGCTCACTTTCCATGCCTGTGAGGCAAATGAGGAACCCAGGGTGCAGACTGAGGAAGCACTCACTCTTAGGCTCACTTGGCCCATCCTAGCCTCACTCCAAATCAACCACTCCTAGAAGTCAGAAGCAAGAGGCCCCGTTGGAGGTGAGGTGGAGACCTTAAGAAGGGAATTCCAAGACTGGTCTGAGCTCTAATTCATTGAGCATCTGCCCTATCCTTTATTCAGATGCTTTTCTAGAGTGCTGTACTTATAGGGAGAGGATGGGAAATGGAGGTAGAACCCTTTAGGGCCTCTGACCTGAAAGATAGTTAGAGACGTGGGGTTTTCTTTCCTCCAGTGTCAAAATAATATAGAGGTTTGGCTTTAATTTCTCTACCAGGGGAAGAGAAATTCGAGAACCCAGAAGGAAGTTCTCCATCTGTTTCCCTTGAGAACACCCATCCTCAGGTGCTGTTCCCTGGCCAGGCCAGAGGGGAAGTACCCTGGAGTCCAGAGCTGGGAAGACCTCGTGACAGGGCAGAAGGGCATTGGGAACCTCCCCCAGAGGACAGAACAGAGCAGTCCTTAGCTGGAGCCACAGGTTGCAGAGAACTGGTGCGACCAAAGGAATTGCAGCCAAAGAAACTCCATCTATGTCCCTTGTGTGGCAAAAATTTCTCTAACAACTCAAACCTAATTAGGCACCAGAGAATACATGCAGCAGAAAAACTGTGTATGGGTGTGGAGTGTGGCGAAGTTTTTGGTGGGCATCCACACTTTATGTCACTACATAGAGCACACCTAGGAGAGGAGGCCCATAAGTGCCTGGAATGTGGAAAATGCTTCAGTCAAAATACCCACCTGACCCGCCACCAGCGTACCCATACAGGTGAGAAACCTTATCAGTGCAGCGTCTGTGGAAAAAGCTTCTCTTGCAACTCTAACCTTCACAGGCACCAGAGGACACACACTGGGGAGAAGCCCTACAAGTGTCCAGAGTGTGGGGAGATCTTTGCTCATAGCTCCAACCTCCTTCGGCACCAGAGGATCCACACCGGAGAGAGACCCTATAAGTGTGCTGAGTGTGGGAAAAGTTTTTCTCGGAGTTCACACCTTGTTATTCATGAAAGAACCCATGACAAAGAGAGACTTGACCCCTTTTCTGAGTGTGGGGAGGCCATGAGTGACAGTGCCCCCTTTCTTACAAACCATGGAGCCCACAGAGCTGAAAAGAAACTCTTTGAATGTTTGACTTGTGGGAAAAGCTTCCGGCAGGGAATGCACCTCACCAGACATCAGAGAACACACACAGGAGAGAAACCATATAAATGTACCCTTTGTGGGGAAAACTTCTCTCATAGATCCAACTTAATCAGGCACCAGAGAATTCACACAGGTGAAAAACCCTATACCTGTCATGAGTGTGGAGACAGTTTCTCTCATAGCTCTAATCGGATTCGTCACTTGAGAACCCATACAGGTGAAAGACCCTATAAATGTTCTGAATGTGGAGAAAGCTTCTCTCGGAGTTCACGCCTTATGAGTCATCAGAGAACTCACACTGGTTAAGGACAGTGGGACTTCTCTTAGCCCCGGAATCAGTGGCATATTCAGAGGTCTTACCAAGAGCCCAGCTGGCTAAATGACCTGTCTTCCAGGTAGTTGATATAAAAGAATATGAGGCTCATTTAGAGGGAGGTGCAGAGGCAGCAGAGTATTAGCTTCACACTAAAAAGGAGTTCAGTCTGCAGTAGTAAGGATATAAGTCTTTGAAGTGACCTGCTCTGGGTCACTTTTTGTCTGAAGGTGCACCCACTTTCTTGGTGCATTTAACCAAGGTGTGGTTTGGGTGCCTTACTGTGTCCATTTTTAACCCCAAAACTTTGGGAGTCTGTGATCTTTTTCTACTCCTCCCTTTGGAGTCAGTAGGAGTGTTTGGGCTCTTGGGAATGTTTGAGAGCACAGAAGAGTGGCCAAGTCTCCTAGGAAACCAGCTGGAGGTCAAACAAACCTGGTTGTAGGTTGCAGCTCTCTTGAAGGCTCTGGCTAGAAAGCTGTGGGCAGTCTTGGTCAACCACCACAGTGCAGTGGTGCAAGGAGTGTCCATCGGCAGACCACATAAGCAAGTATGACTGGAGACAAAAAGGAACCAGAGGTTTGAAAGAAATTCTGAGGTGGAACTTGCAGGTAAGCCCAGAAATTGGCAGATGAAATGGGTGAGTGATTACTCCACCCTTTGCAGAGATTGAAACCTTCCCTCACCATTGTCAAAAAAAGAAAAAAAAAATTACAGAGCTCTGGAGTCTTGTTCCTGGACGGAGGGTTCCATCAAAGTGGATCCTACAGAAGTTAGGGGATTATGTTTTCCCTGTTGAAAATGTTTGAATGGTAATAAATATCTTTGGGAAACATGAATGTGTGTGAATCTTGATTAAGGGCCTTTGTCTTAACCTCAGTGTTGATCTGTATCCAGCCTCTTCTCAGAGGCCCAGGTTTCTTCTTGTGGACTTCCTGGGTTGGTCAGAAAGGTTTTGACAAAGGTGGCAGCATATAGGCTGCGGGAAGGTGTGGGCTTGATGGGTTCTGGGCTGGATTCCACCGACTAACAAGGTCAAGCTGAATGGCTGCTTGGTCTCCCAAAGTTGTTGTTTCTTTTTTTGCATAGCACTGAAAATGTTTTCCATTCTTTGTTAAGAAAGTTTATATTCTTGGGCTGAGACTGTAGCACATGTGAGGCACTGGGTTCGATCCTCAGCACCACATAAAAATAAATGAAGATAACTGTCTGTCTACAACTAAAATTTTTTTTTTTTAAATTATAGTTTTATAAAGTAGCTTGAGGCAGGTTAGGCTTTTCAAAAGACAGGATAGACGGGATATTTGGCTCTTGTAGCTGGTTCCTAGGAAGGACGCTAAGATGGTCCTGATGTCACTGAGTCATTGATCATTAAAGGTGGGAAAATACAGGGAGGGGAACATTATTAGGGGAAATCATGTATTAGAATGAGAATAGGAATTCTAGGAGTGCATTTATAGGAAAGAGTACCAGCAGTTACTCTGGGAGTTATCAGAAGGACTTATATGGCCCTGAAGGAAGGTATAGAACTAGCTGTTCTCTGGGAGAAAAAAAAAAAAAAAATGATGGAACAATCTGTTAGCAATTGACTATCAAATATCACTCTTAAGTGATGGGAATAACTGTGTCCCTTCTCACTTTATCAGTCTTGTCTCAGCCCAGCCTCAGTGTGAGTTTTCCCTTGGTTTTCCCCCTCTTCTTCCCTGTTCTCTCTCCCCCTCCCTCCCTCTTTCTCTTTTTTTTCTTTGTACCAGGGATTGAACCCAGGGGTGCTTAGCCACTGAGCCATATCCCCAGCCCTATTTTTGTATTTTTTTTAATAGATAGGGTCTCACTGAGTTTATTAGGGCCTTGCTGAATTGCTGAGGCTGGTTTTGAATTCATGGTCCTCCTGCCTCAGCCTCCTGAGCTGCTGGGATTACAGGCATGTGCCACCACACCTGGCTTTTCCTTTGTTTTCGGAGCCAATTTTAAAATATGTGTTTCTTACTAATCTCCCTTTTGCTTATGTATCTTGTTAACGGGAAGAGAGCAGTGGTAGTGTTGTGATTGAGGGGCATTGGACTGGGTGAGGATTAGAGAAGTTAATGTAGGATCTACAGCAGATGGAGTCCAGTGAGCAGGGCAGGGCTGATATGGCTTCTGATGACATGAATTCAGTGGTGTGAAGCTTGTGTTAAGGCTAAGCAAGCTGTTTAAGATAGCAGCTTACATGGATTGTACAATTCATTCCTGTCCTCATATTTATGTATATATATATATATATATATATATACACACACACACACACATATACACTCATGATATCCATGTATATAATATGGAATCACCCATACAGATCTTATGATTTTGTTCAACTAATGTTGCTTTACTTAAGAGTCTGAAGCTAGAATAATGAGGGCTTCTTTTCCTCCCCTAGGTGTTCACCCCAAGATTAAAAGGCTTTCCATTGGGACTCTTCACCCAATCTCCAGTCTAGCTCCCCTTCTAGCAAACTGTACATGTAACTCAGCTTTGTTTTAATGAGRTGATGTCACACAAAATATTATATATGAAACAGCACAATGCCTGGCATGCAGAAGATATTCATATTCGGTTCATAAAAGATTTCAGACAGATCTTCCAGTTAAAGTTCTTAGTTTGTCACTGAGGCACCTTGAATGCTCCAAAAGATTGTCAGAAATCACAAGCATCCAAATCTGCTTCAAGATAATTTTACACTATAGTTACCTGGTATTGACCAATGGAACAGAATTTGTGATTACTCTCAAAAATGAGTATGAGTCCTGGTCATTCAATTCTGGGAATTTATTGCCATTGAAAAAGAATAAAGATATTTACACAAAATACCCCAATTAGAAGAACTAGAGAGCTAAGCAATATCCTCAAGTGCCATTCTCAACTTCTTCCAAAAACCTATGGTTTGAAAAGTCCTCCTCAAAGGAGGGAAAACAAATTAGGGACAAATTTTAAAATCAAAGTCAACCTTCCAAATGTCATAGGTCTCCCAACTTCCAGTAGGCTTAAAAGAACCATAAAAGCAAGCCTAAATTGAGTGAAAAAAAGTACACAGTGGCATGTTTAATTTTTTTGTAAGTTCTGGGTAATAGACATTTAAAAATACTGAATTTAAACGGTAAGAATATATTAGCAGTAACTACTTTTTTTTTTTTAACCCAGTGGTACTCTACCAGTGAACCACACCACCACCACACTTTTTAAAATATTTTTTTTTTGTTATTGTATATGGATATAGTATATTTTTGTGTGGTGCTGAGGATCAAACTCCGTGCCTCACATGTGCTAGGCAAGTGCTCTACCACTGAGTCTGACATCCCCACCATTTTAAAATCTACTTTTAGATGGTCTCAGTTGCCATGGCTGGCTTCAAACTCTCCATCCTCCTACCTCAGCCTCCCATGTGCCACCCTGCCTGCTTAAAATAACTAACTAATTAAAATAAAGGACTGCACTCAGAGTAACAACAATACTACCTAGGAATAACAGTAAAATAGATGAAGACTCAACTATAAAAACTATACACTTACCATTCAAATAGAGAGAAGTAAGTTTAAATTCTTATCAAACTAATTAAATTATGCATAAATTCCAGAGGGAACTGATGTGTGTTTGGAGGAGGCTTGAACAGTTTAATGCCGAAGTTGATTTGAAAGAATAGGTAAGAACAGCTTAAACATTTCTGAAGATAGTAAGTGGGTACTTGCCTTATATTAAAAGTCTCACTTGGGCACTGTGGCACATCCTGTAATCCCAGTAGTTCGTGAGGTTGAGGCAGGAGGATCTCGAGTTCAAAGCCAGCTCAGCAAAAGTAAGGTGCTAAGCAACTCTGTGAGACCCTGTCTCTAAATAAAATACAAAATAGGGCTGAGGATGTGGCTCCAATGGTCAAGTGCCCCTGAGTTTAATCTCCAGTACCCCCCAAAACAAAACAATAACAACAACAACAAAAAAAACCAGTCTGATTAAAATGGTAAGGTAATAGAGCAAGAGTAGATACCAGCACTACATTTAATCGTTAATTTTACACTATAGTTACCTGGTATTGACCAATGGAACAGAATATAAATCTCAAGAAACAGACCGTATGAGAAAGGAAATGTTAAAAGCTAATAAGACTTAATTATCTTAGCAAAACTTGTTATTTGCAAATATCAATCTAAATGCTCACCTGACATCTTGTGCTAAAATGAGGAACAGTAAAATGTGCCAATCTTTTATTATAAAATTAACAAAAACTAATAGCAATATTCAATGCTAGGATTGGTACCCAGGGGGTACTTTCAAACTCTGGGCCTGAACATGAAAACAATACCTTTCTTTAAAAAAAAAAAAAAAAAAGAAAATCACACTCTTTGACTTGGTTTAAATTAAAAAAAAAAAATTAAGAGATGGAGTCTTGCTATGTTGCCCAGCTGGCCCTAAGCCCAAGTTGTTGGGACTGCAGGCATGTACTACTAACTCAGGTCAGAAGCTTAATTTCTAAAAACCTTCCTTAAAATAATCACTTGAATTTTTCTACAAAAAGGTGTTCACCATTTTACTTACTTCAAAAAATAAGAAACAAACACTTAACAGGAGAATGGTTCATTCAGTGATATATCACATGGTGGAATAGTAATTAACCATCATGTTTGAGGTTTGTGAAGAGATCTTAATGACATGGGGGAAATTTTCAAATAGCATAATAAAGACTGAGCTTTGGCATTAAACAGAATTTAAGTCTCATTTATAAGCTTCTGTGGCCTTATCAAGTTACCTAGCTTCTATTTGTTTCCTTACCTATTTAAAAAGGGATCAGAATATACACCTCTACTTTCTAAGCCTTGGAGAGCATAGTCAGATTATGAGTATAAAGATTATGTAAATCTACATATATACAATCCTATATACTCAACAAATGTTAATCCAATGCATAAAGTGTTAAGATATAATATTTTATTTACACAGCAACCTTCTAATTAAAAAATGACATCCAAGTTTTAAAAGGATATTATTGGTCAATAGGACTGGGTATTTTCTTTTTATATACCTTCAATAATCAGCATGTTACTTTAACTAAGAGGAAAATAAACACTAAATAGGTGGTAAGAGTTAAAAAAGAAGAGTGTGGCATACTATTAAATTAGAAGCCAAATCTAGCTTTATCTTCGTAAAGGTAAGAATTAGTCTGCATACAGCTTCTTTGCTTTAGGCTGGGAATACGTGAGTTTTTGGTTTGTTTTTGGTGCTGCAGATTGAACCTAGATCCTTGTACATGGTAAACATGTGCTCTGCTACTGAGCTACACAGTTGAATATAAATTAGTGCTTTTCCTTATAGCCATTTTATCTGGGACAGTAATTCCTCATTATTCAGGTCTTATATATTTTTTTATTTTTTAGTTGTAGTTGGACACCATACCTTTATTTTATTTATTTTTACATGGTGCTGAGGATTGAACCCAGGGCCTTGCACATGCTAGGCAAGCACTCCACCGCTGAGCCACAACCCCAGCCCCAGGTCCTATCTTAAATAGAAAATAATAATATATTCATACACTTAAAGAAACGAAAGTTTATTATTTTCAAACTGTATAGCTTATAACCAATATGTAAATGAACACTGATATGCAAAATAATGTCAGTTGGTAAAAACAATGACAATTACAGTAGGCTTACATCAAACATGATCATGTAACTGCAGAAATCTTTAAACACAAAAATTTAATTATTAGAACCAGAAGTTGAGGGCATATTAAAGGTATCCTTAATATTATGAGGCCTAGGTGTCAAAAAACTACCAATTCTTGAATGGATTCTACTCT